TGATTCACTTGTTTTTCCATGAACATTTACGTAGCAACCAACGGGTGCTGTGTCCTTCCAACAAGTAGCTGGTCATGGGTCGATCATCGGCCGACCCCGCGTTGTCAGCCGGCTGGTAGCAGAGTGTGAGACGCAAGAACGCCCTGAGGTGTGGCAAGCGGATGACTTGATGTGGAATGATGCACTCGATGGGGAGGACCCTAAGAGAGTCATAGGTTTTGTGGGCGAGGGAAAAAAACGCAAACAAATTCAAACCGGGTTGGGATATCTCGGTCGTAAAGACCTTTGGAAGTGACTTGGCAGGTCAAAGATGGTCAAAGGAGCCGATCCGAAATGTTTGAATCCTGTACCGTGGTTGCAGTGGATGATGCATGATCTCAGTAGACGGGCCATCGTTCCACCACTTTGACAACCAAGCAAGAACACAAGACTTTGTGACAACTTACTGTGCACTCCATTCAGCAATATGTGCTATATATATATATATGTATATACTGAGGTCTAGTGACTTAGGACTTACGGGTCTAGTGACATAGTCGGCTGGGATAGCCAACTCCTGACTCATGTGCCTGGTATATATAAGCAAGAAAAGAGTCGTCACCTGCGTGCACACTTGAACCAGCCACATCCATCACCTGGAGAGTGGGCGAGAAGCGTCCGCTCTTCCGCTGTGCACGGTGATTCCATCATCCAACTGCCCTTACAACTGCCCGGCTTAGAAAGGACACTCAGTTCGCGTTCGACCGCTCGAGTTGACCCTCACGGCTTTGGAACCGCCAACGGGTCGCCGAGGGGTCGCCGCGTCTGACTCTGAGAGTCGGGCACCGACTGCGAACCGGTGCGACGAAAGCCAGGAATGGAGCGATGGAATCCACACTGTAGATTCCTTATGCATGGGACCTTAGCAGTCTACTACCTGATACGCTGGATTAATTTTCTACGGAAATACGCGTGATTCTTGTTGTATGCATTCCCTCATTCCTGGCGAGTCGCACCAGTCAGTCCACATGCGTTCAACAAGCTTGACAATTGGAAGAAGTCTCCGGTCTTCAGTTTGTTGACCACACAACTGCACCCATCTCAATTCCCTACCGCCCGGGCAGTCTCTCAAGGCCTGTTGGCCTGACCAGGGTGCTCGAGACACTTGAAACATCTTGAAACTGAGCACTCCAGGATTCCAGGATTCGAGTCAAATCATGTCAATAAACCACATCTCGATGCTTAATTAAGGCATCCAGGATGTCAACATCTGAAGCGGGGTTCGTCCTCCGGCTTGAGTCAGGCACACCAACAATATTGACCTCTGGAATATACGCAAAATACAAGTTACGAATCTGAAACTCAGCATAGGAGACGTACCCATCTCTGTGTGTCTTTACGGTGCCTTCATTTCACGACAAAAGCACCCAGCCATTCTCTGTCGTAGGTTCTTGGTTCTTGATGACAACAAGATCTGTGCTGAGCTCAACTTGGGCTCGGATGCAGGTTGGAACTTCAAAAAGAAACTGGGTTTGTGAGGTGACCGGTGTGAGCTGACCAGGTGCATGGCTTTCCATGCGAGATTTTCCATGCCTGCCTCGCACGGGATCCCTTTTGGGATCCCGTCTGGCTTCTGGCCATGCCACATTTACGCTTGGCATCGCTTGGTGTTGGGTGAATGTGTCTGCACATCGAGCAATCCTCCCAATGATCCGTGTCTCGGGAATGTCCTGTAAGCTCTCAATGAACTTATCTCAAACGCTCCAGATAACATTCTTTGACCTACATTCATGCACATTCACTACTGAAATCCATCCTGTCATGTAGGTCATAAACCGCGAAGCGACTGGGCAACCCTGTCGACTCACCAGCTTCGCAGTCGACTCTTAGACCCAGTCAGATGGGCCAGTTCGGGGCCCACCGAAGTCTCGTGTACTCTCAAAACGCTGGCTGAACCTGTTGCCCTATACACTATCCTATACATGTTGTACTGGAAAGAATTGCAAACAAAACCCCTACAAATCAATAGAAGTCTTTGATTTCGCGGGCACAAACTGGACATCCTAGTTTGGAACCCAACGACCCGTTTGTAAAGAACTGGGTGTTGAAACTCCGCCAATCCGGACAATCACAAAAGCAATGGATCCAAAGGTGTTTTTTTTCAAAAAAAAATGAACATCACTAAACAAACATGATGAACATCACTAAACCCCATTTGCCCCATTTTTTACAAGCGGACTGCGACTCTTAGACTCCCCGAGTACTTTTTTGGCAGTTGTTTTTTCGTCTCGCGTGGGCACCCGAAGCTGGTTCCGACGAATGTCAAAATAAGCAAAATGCAATGGATGTTGTTAATAACTCGGCAATCACACTGCAGCTTTAGGGTTGACATCGGCAGCCCTGAGTCCAGGTCAAGCTCTGACAAATGCTTTGCCACATTGCCTTTATCAAGTCCACATTATGTGCGTCTATCCTTTCCTTCGGATGTAACTATAGTTGGAGCCGTGTCAGAAATCTTCAACACCATCACGATCTGGATGGTTCGTTTTGAACACAGCGGATGGCCACAGCGGGTGGCCACTGCCAACCCTTCTGAACTTCTATAGAATCGAAGTTCGAAACTATCAGAAACTACGGTAAAACTATGGGTCAGACAGCCTTGGAAGAAACCAGCAGGGCAACTCCACATGAACCAATGACCAGCCTTTTCGGCGACTCTCGGGCTCTCTTGGGCTCTCTTGGGCTTGGGGAATTTGGAGGTTCCCGGAGGAATCTGGATCCTGGGATCGTCCAACAGCTCAGTGCGGTGCGGGGTAGAGAAAGAAAGCTTCGCATGCTTTGCCCCATGCTAGCTGCTAGAGGTTCCTTTGGATCCAGCCGCACCAGTCCAACGGCTGCCTTTAGATTCCATGGTTCCAAGATTGGTCAAGATGACAAGATGTTCCACTTGCCCCGTGCATGGACAAACATGGACACACATAGCAACAAACAACAATACATCACACTGACGCAACAATACCACCAAACATAGGCACTATTTCAAACAGGAAACAGCCAATAAGCTACACCTTTTTCCTTGAACCAAATATCCACGTATGAGGTCATGACATATGTACACAGTGGTGAAAAATACCCCCCGCGGCGCCGCCAGTTCACTGGCAGCACCGAAGAGGCAGAAGTGCAGCCACCGTAGACCTCAGGACGGGCTGCAATGCTATGTACAATATGCAGGACCTACGAATACGTGGTTGTGGTGGAGAAAGTTGCATGTAAGGTTCGGCTCTTTTTGCGCTCATAGCGGATTGCTGCAAAAGGCAAAAAAACACGGCTCAGGTTTCCACCTAGCATCACGGGAGCATTATACCACTGCAAACAAGATGCCAAAACTGCCATATGCCGTGAATTAGTATTGACAAGATGAATGCACTAGGCGTGCCAGCCAAAATGGACACGGCAAACCTTCCGGCTCGCAACGCTATTGAAACAATTAGCCTCAATGAATGAAGACGGCTAACGTTCCCGTTGGCGTCACGAACATGAAATTCACATACTTCGCATACCAACATGAGAAAGAAAGCATTCCGGCTAACGTTCCCGTTAGCATGGAAGTCACACACTTTTGTGAAGGATCTAGGGATCCCACTCCCAGTACCATCCCCGGGAGTTGGTCCACTTCCACGAAAAGCTCCAAGATCCGGACCACTCACGGTCACCATAGTAGACCCGCTCCTGCGCAGGCTTGCCCTTGCCCTTCTCCTTGCCATGCCCCTTGTATGGCTCGGACTTGTATTGCCCCCTTTGGCGGCTCATGCTTGCCCTTCCCCTTTGGCTGCGGCTCGCTCTTCCCCTTGCCCTTGGCCTTTGCAGCGCCTTCATTGCAATGTCCTGAGCAATGGTGCGCTTGGGCGGCCCGACAACGGCATCAGATGAGCTCCCAGCAGCGCCCTTCCCTTCGGCTTCGGGACAACCCGCCATTGATGGGGTGCAGGTGCCCAGGGGCGTGGCCTGTTGCCCTTGCCCTTCCCTTTGCCCTTTCGGGACTGGTAACCCAGCCACCAAGTAGCTTGTTATTTGCTGGTCTCACTACAACACCGTCGCCTCATCCACCACGGCTGCAGGTCATGGAAACCACAGGACTGCAAGCACCGATTAAACCTCCTTGCGTAACAGGCCGCATCCAATGAGCATACGTTGCCAGCGACTACAGCTTTGAGTCAACCAAATCAAGACTACTACTTGCTTTGCCCAGTCCCACTAATGATGTCTAGCTGAAAGGTATATAAACTGACCAGGCTGAGTTATCCGCTGGCCACATCTAAGGTTGGCGAGTAGGAAACATGTCAAGTAGAACCTAGATTTTTCTGAACTTGCAAAATGAAAGTCTTCAAGTGTCCATAGTGAACATGCAACGCAAGAATTGGGATGAGCTCATGAGCTGTCTTTTTGCTGGGTTCCCCACAACACTGTCACCTCATCCACCAGCCATGGAAGCCGCAAGGCCGGAATTTCCGCCTGGCACAACAGACTAATGAAAGCATTGTTTCGTCACAAAAATGCAAAGCGCTGCTGGCCGACAAACATTCATTAAATATCATAAATCAAATGCATTGGATCATGCACTGGCCATGATAAATGCTGCTTCAAATGCAAGGCCCGGCACCAAGGGAAGTGGACCATGGAAAAAATGAAAAGCTGAATGACATCCGAGAGTTTCCCTGCGCCTGCTCATATTTTTTCTTTCCATTTCAATGTCGCTGGAAGATGGACCGCTGGGACGGCTGGGACCGCTGGGCCCGCTACTGCAAAATCAACCGGCAGTGCGGTTTCCAACGAAGCCAGCGCCCTACCAGCACCAGGGAAGAAGCAGTGATTGGGCTACTTCAAATCAGTCCTCAATATAAATTTTGGCTGCCAAAATTGAAGTTTGGGGTCCAAGTTGAAATGACATGACATGACCGAGTCCAAGTTTGCTTCCCTGTGCGTGGCCCAAAGATCAAAATGACCGCTCATACGCTCAGACGTCACTGGTGCCAGGCATCTGGCATCCAAGGGTCATGAGGGTGCGGGTCAGGCTGTGGCTCCTGAGCAGGCTGAGGCTGAGAAGCAGCAGGCGGTGGCTGAAAAGCAGCAGGCTGTGGCTGATCTGGAAACCAATTGGTTGGTGGGATCCACTCTGTTGCCACCACAGGAGTATCATCTCGATCCCATCCGCCACCGCCACGGCCTCCTCTCTGCCACCCAGACCAGTTGGAGCGGCCACCATACCGCTGGTAATGGGCATTCACGGCCTCCCGCATGTCGCCAGTGTCCCGCAGCGTCTCCACACAGTACCTAGCCCCTTGGAAGCCGCTTTCCACCAACCCACTGTCAAGCCATTGATTGCAACGAGCCAAATGCAAGGCAAATGGCTTGCCCTTTGCGTCCACTTCACGTACCAGCCACAAAGCCATCACCGTGCATGACTTCGTTCTGCGAGCCACCAAAGCTCGGTCCTGACAAGGTCAAGGGTGGCATCGCATTCCATGGCTGCCATCAATCCAAATCTATCAGAAATAAAAACTTCAATTATGACCCAATCAGCCAACGCAAGTTGACCGAAATCCAACTTAAGCCAAAGCTCAACTTGCATTCCATCCCACAGGAGCTCAAAGTCGTCTGCGTTGTTGCCAGTCCACACCATGCTCACTTCCTTGCAGGAGCCAGGCCTGCAGTGCCATGCCTCGTCCACAAAATCCCCCTTGAGGCACTCGCACTGACAGGGTTTATGAATTTCAAATTTGCAAATCCTTGGAAAACCTTCAACATAAGAACCCGAAAATTGATCGCAAAATCAGCAGCAACAACAACAACAACAATAACAAAAACATCAATCATCAACAACAACAACGACGACAACAACAACAGCCACGCAAGTACAAGTAAACACACCAACATCCAGGAAACTGACATGAAGCAACTTTTCTTGAAACTTCCGTGCCTGAAGGATCCAATCGGGGGTCTTGAAGGGAGACTGTGCATTGATGGCCTGCTTGTACGTCACCACATAGAACCAACCGCCACCCTCAGCACTGACCCAAACACTGCGGGCAGCAGGTCCAGGCTGCGATCCAGCAGCGAAGAACTGAAGGGTGCCAGGTTCCAGGCGGTGCACAATGGCCAAATCCTCGTTGCGGGTCACCTGGGCCGACACTGCTGTGTACTGCACACCCACCTGTTGCTGCAGATCCCTCACTGGTCCAAAGCCACGCAAGAAGAATGAATCCCGGATGATGGCCCTGTTGCGGTCTTCCAGGCTAGTAATCTGCTGGGCATGCTGAACCAAGCCATCCAAACACCTGGGTCCAGCGCGGTGGTTGCCAATCTGGGTTCGCTCCAAGAAAGCTTCCGCAAACTTCAAGACGTCGCGGCAGTACAGTGCCAAATGCAGCAAGTAACCCTCATTGTTCATGGGCAAAGCCCAGCCAGCCCAATCGTCATTCTGAGGGCATACAACATACTCCATGAAAGCACCGCATACTGTGCTTACGATTAGCCATGATCAGCTTGACACTAGTCAAAATCAAAACAGTAACTAGTCAAAATCAAAATCAAAATCTAAATCATATGCGATTTCCGGCCATACCAATCAATATTGAAATTACGACTGATTCATTTCATTTGATTCAACTTGATTTCGGCGTGAGTCCTGAACTCCACGAAGCTGGTACCTCCTTGCACAGCCGTTCATGACGTACGGATAGATCAAAATGAAGCACTTGTGGATGCCACCAGAGGAGGTTTGGGACAATGTGAACTGCTCAAGCTGCTCTTTCACAGCAGCCGCCACCTGAAGCAGGTCAGCAGGTAGACAGTAATCAGTAAGGGTTGCAACACTTAAATTCAAAAAGCATTGCAACAAAGTCTGGTATTGTCTCCAATCACAAATGCACGGCCTTGGCACAGCTAAACCAAAACCATTTAAATTCAAATTTATTCACATGTGACTACACACTCAGGCCAAAGGCACTCGGACCCACTTCTGCGGAATCTGAGCCAAAGGGGGCATTCTGCTTATCAGGTCGCGCGCTTCATCGATGAGCGTGCCCTCCGACATGGACAGTTCTTAGTTGCGTCATGTGATCACCAATGGTGACATTCAGTTGTGAAGTTGAAGGAAAATAGAAACACATGACATCGTTTTCACTCTTTGAACCATGAAATTAATCTTCACCAAGCAGAATAGTACTTGGATAATAACTCTAAAGATAACAATAATAAATTAACCACAACCATCAGCATCCAAGCAACCTGCGCAGATCTCTGCAATGGTCTCGTTGCTTCGCTCACCACCACGGTAGAAGCTGCCCACCACCCAATTGAATCCAGCCAGGGCCCATGCGAAGTTTTGCTGGGTTTGATACGTCTGCCGAAAGAAAGGGGGCGCCTGGTGGAATGCCACACTGAAGCGCTGGATTTCGTCCTGCTCAAGCATCAAAAGCTGTGTGCTGACCGCAGGAGTTCGGAGAAGAGTCACCACATTTTCCACAATCTCACGCTGGGCTTGGAGGTTCGCCTGTCGAACTGCCTCTGCCACTGGATCAGCAGTGATCACAGACTGCCTTCCGTGAGAAGGCAAACCTGGCGCCTCTGGTTGGGCCGCAGGCTCCACAGGCTCCGCAGGCTGCGCCGGATCAGCCATTGGCTGGACCGCTGGGACCGCTGGGGCATCCCCAGCAGCAGGCACAGCAGGTTCCATGGCTGAAAAAGGCAGGGGGCGACAAGAAGCAAGGCACTCCGGATGACTGTCTTAAGCCAAGATGTGCCAACCATTGCTACCATGCTTCAATGTATTGGAATGATGCTTCACCAGTGGCCCTTCTCCAAATGCCAAACTGAAGCATGATTTCACCGCATCCAAGCATCCAGCCCCCCCACAATTCCACGCCTAATGAAGCGCATGCCCAACCACAATGACAAGCAAAGCAGCAAAGGTCCATGCCTGAGACCGCAAGGACCGCAAGGACCGCACAGGACTGCAAAGGACCGCTCCAAAAACAAACCATGAATACATAGTGACTGCATACTAAAAAGTGAATTACCGATCTGAGGCAAGGACAGAGCAAAGAAGGCGAGGCGCTTCAGAAATGGAACCCAAACCAGCAACGTGAACGGGCGAATGAATAACGACAACAACAACAACAACAACAATCACCATAATAGCAGGCAGTAAAAGTCAACCAGCTAAGGAAGAAAAAAAATATCCGAAATGCCGAAGTAGCAAAATTCATTCTTGGGAACGTGAGTCATCAAGTGGGCAATTGATTGTGCTTCCCTCTTGAGCAAGGCTTCCCCCCGTCCGCGTTCTGCCACCAAGGGTCCTGGTACCTGATCGTCCAGGGCATCATCACTAGGGTTAGAATCATCCGTTGGCGGCTCGACCTTCCGGTCAGCGGCGCTGGGCGGCTCAGCCTTCCGGCTGGCTTCTTCTTCTTTTCTCCTACTCCCATCATCATCACCCCCCGCATCATCTGAGCCCTTTGCGACTTCAGCAGGTAGGGCCAGCGGAGTGGTAGAAGACGAGGATGTAAAAGGCGAACTTTCCGTTGAAGAAGAAGCTTCAGCTCGAATTCCAGCATCGATGATCGGACGTGAACGCGACTTGCAAGGCATGGCTTTCTTGATCTTGGAGGGAACGTACGGCACATAATCTCGTACTGTTAACTTAATTCGAACACCGTCGGGCTTTTGGAAGTATGGTTCCTTGCCGGCTCTCCAAACAAAGTCATAATCTTCGTCCATGCACTTGACACCGACGGACATAACAGGTCGGGTGGACTCGAGCAGGTATGGCGTGAAGTTACACCCTAGCGTTTCGTTTCTCGCCTTTCCCTGCAGGTATGACGAACTTTCTCCATTCGCAGTAATGATGGAGATCGGTTAATCGGAGAAAAATTGATATCGGTCCGGAATGTCATATTTGGTTGCAAGGTCCTGAGCACTTCCGGTATCTGCAATCCAGTCTTCACCTGAAAGGAGGTAGTGCTCAACCTGCTGCTCAGAGGCGGCAGGTGTCGCAAACAGTGTCTTCGGTATGCAGTGGTCACATCCGATGGTAGACTTGCACATGAAACGACACTTTGCTTTAAACCCTTGCAACTCATTCTGCACTGCTCCGGCAAGCATCTTGGCCGACAGGATTGAGTCTTCAATGGCCGATGGGTTGGGACTCATAGCGAATTCGATGGGATAGAACTTTGACGGACTCTTCCTGTCCACTTCATACGGGTACAAACTATACCGGTAGTATGATACTCGGTAATGTTCGGCTTAGACTCGAACTTCACCTTGATCTTGGCTGGGCAAGCAATGCTCGGCCAACCGTTCCCGGTGGCAAGTCCTTCGACAGACGATGCAAGCATGGACGCAACAAGACAAACTGCGGCAGGCGTTACTCTGGGAGACAATCGGTTCGACCCCCCGGATCCCTTGGATCCCTTTGACTTTCGAGAACCATCGGAACCGGAACGGCGGCCACTCTTATCCCGTTTGCCCCTCTTGTCCTTCTTCCGCTTGTCCTTCTTATCGCTTCCGCGGGAACTGCGGGATCCTGATCTGGCAGGAGTGGCCTTGCGGGGCTTCTGTTTGCCTGCGTGGGAAAACTCACAGTCGCTTCCCCTTTTGCATCGTCCAGCTTTCCAATACTTGCATGTTATCTTGGACTTGTCCTTACCCTCACGACTGGTGGAACGACCTCTACTTGGTTTTCGAGTTCTCTTCGGAGGAGTCTCATGCTTGTACGTGCAGTTTTCTTTGGTGCAACTGCCTTTGTTCCATGCGACGCAGTACCCCTTAGGGATGAATGGAGTCTTCTTCCGATCGTCGTCGACTGCTGGAGTGGACGGTCTCGGACCTCCAAGGCTGTTGTGGATCCGGTCACGGTTCGACTCGAGCCTTTCCCTCCGGAGGTACCTTTGTACAGCATCAACAAGGTATTTGTAGGAATGATTCTCAGTTCCTTCTTCAGCACGATTGTAGATTTCAATGTCATGTTGAATGGCCTGTACGTTCTTTATTTGTTCATAGAACAGGGTTTCCAAGACTGATGGATCCGGTGGGTGAGTACTACCGGCATTCACCGTGTCCCAGTTCGAAATGAAAGTTCTCAGTTCTCACCCTTGAGCTTCACTGCAAACAAATATTTCAATGAGTACGTGGCTCCATGCTTGATATTCGTACTGAAGAAATCATCCATCATCAATAGAACTTGTCGTCCTCTCACAGGGCGGTCGGCAGCTGATTCCTCTTTGAAGGTATTGACCTTTCTAGCAAATTCACCTGAACAGATGTTCGACAGTGCTGACAACAATTTTGCATCAAGGGTTGTGAATCCCTCCGGGCCGACCAAATCTGCAGTCACCGTCCCCTTCCACACTTTGTTAATCCATACGAAAGCTTTGTCTGGCGTCTTCGATGCGGCACGAACGGCATCTCGCACCTTAATCTTCCAGTCTCTGTCTCTGTAGCTTTCGGGGTACGGGAATGGTGGAACTTTGATGTGATCTGCTTCCTTGGCATTACTCTCGGAGCTCTTCTTTTTCCCCTTAATAGAAGTTGTTTGAGGGCGTTCAACAAGTCACGGCCCGAAAGGTCACCCTCTTCATCATCGTCATCGTCGTCATCCCCATCCCCGTCATCATCGTCTCCAGGCTCATCAGGCGGGCCTCCTCCACCAACGTTGGCTTTCTTCGGGCTCGGCCGAAGGTTCCCCTTGGCATCATCTCCCTTTGGAGGACCGTTACCACCTTCTGGCTGAGGTGGTGGGGGGATCACCTCCGGGTGCTCCGTTCGGAGCCTTTCCGGTCTGATCACTGGTTCCCAGTGGCAGCGGTGGAATCACACCATGAGTTCAATGGTGAGCCAAAAAGGGATTCCTCAGTAGGTTCATTCTTCGGGGCTGGATTATCTTTTGGCTCTTGCTTGACGGTTTGCCTAAGCGTAGTTGGATTGGGGATGGATGGAGAGTATTCTCGGGTTTGCAATTCATCGTTGCCCCCTGCGGGAATCATTGGAAGACCCCTGGGACCCAGAACGGCTGGACCTTCCGGTGCGCGAACGGCGGACCAAGAACTGAACAGGTCATTCTGATGTCTGGCGTCTCGAAGAGCACTCAGTTGGCTTTGAAGATCGGTTTGCTTCTTCATGGATTGTCTCAACTCCAATTGAAGGCTTTCAGTTTGCCGATTCTGGCGCTCTACATGGTTGTTCAATGATTCAATGGTTGCCATGCACTTCTCAATTGCATGATCACTACGAATACGTGCGTCTAACATCTGACTCTCATGGTGTTGTTTCATGGACCTAAGCTCGGCCGCAGAAGCCTCGGCATAAGCCTCATAACCCCTCTGGGCAGCTTCAACAAAAGCGGTGGCTTCATGCTTAACGACCGTGTTCTCATGAAACATTTGCTCGGCTTCACTCATAAACCTCAACCCCTGCATTCGCATCTCGTCACGCTGGGCGCTCGCTATGTTGAGCTGTTCACCTTGGATGTCCATGGCATGCCGGTGTCTCTCTTCGGCAACAGCCTCGATCAATCTAGTATCAGTTGTCGGGGCTTGGTGAACATGCAAGTGCTGATTCAACACATTGGTATTACTCATGTGGACCGGCACAGCGTTCCCGCTGGCACTCATGGAGGGAGGGTCGTAACGGGCAATGTCAGGCCCTAAAGGCGTGTCCAGAAACCCATACCCTTCCGGCACGAGCGCCACAGAACTTGCAACCTCAGGCGTTACTTCACGTGCGGACATGTTGTCCGGGTCCGACGATAAATCGATGATCGGCGGAAACCCATAACCAGCCATGGCGTGGATCACGTGGAACGAGAGAGAGGACTGTGTGAGACCTACGGCTGATAACCTATTCCAAATAGGAAACAGCCAATAAGCTACACCTTTTTCCTTGAGCCAAATATCCACGTATGGGGTCATGACATATGTACACAGTGGTGAAAAATAGGCACAAACAACACAACAACAAACAAGAAGCAATCAGAAATGTAACAACAACAACAACAACAACAACACGTGTAACGCTGCCGTGTCTGGAAGACCGCAAAAAAAACACTGCACAGCAAGCCAGTCGCCCGACGCACATGAAGAGGATTGAAAAGGTGATTGAATCCCACATGCGGGGTTATGAATCAAGATCCTACATTAAAACCACCACACTCAAGACTTTTTGACCACTTGGACCCACACCAGCCACGCCGGCCTCACGAGTCACCCCGCAACGCGGGTGACTCCGACATCCTCCGACGAACACATCACATGGAAGTGGAAAGACACCCTGTTTGTAACGGAAAAAACAGTTTTCTTGAAGCAACCATGCCGTCTACTTCCATGTTAGTGAGCCAAAGTGTAGTTCAGGATGGAACATGACTGGACTAATTACGCTCATTGTTTCTCACCCTTTCTAGGTTTATGGTGCCGATGGCAGGCAGTCAAGGAAAACAAAGAGTTGTCAATGGGAGAATAACACAGGAAAATGCTACTGCCTGGACGGAGAGGATAAGGAAAAAACGCAATTTATACTGTTCGAGAAGCATAAAACACATGAGCACCTGGCGGCATAGTGCTCGGAAAACCCTACCAAATCCGCATTCATGTGCTTGTGCAACCAAACTTCATATGGAGCACCACTTACGCTGTTCGCTGTCGGCCACGCTGAAGTAGTGCGGGCTACGGCTATCACCGTTGCCGTACAGCCTCTTCTGCTACGTAGTTGAGAAGATCATACCACTCGCTTGATGGACATATTCTCCCACTCCTCGAAATTCCTCTCCAACCAGTGGAACTTGTTTGCGGATGATCTTCCAACTCCACACGCTGAGCTCCACTGCGTAGCGTGTCTAGGGACATACCGGTTCTTCGCACGCGTCACCCGTGAAAATTCGGGCATGGGCCAGCAAGGAAAGGGACCTATACCCAAATTCACGGTGTCCATGCCTCATTGAAAAAAACCGTTGGCTGTGTTCAACCAACTCAATCCGTTGTGCATTTCTACCAGTACCTGGCATGGCGGTGGGGAGGTCGAGTCCGCAAGAATAGTCAATCAAACAAACATGAAATGGCCAGCAGCAGCCCACGGCAAACAAACTCATTGTTCGCCAAAAGCCTCGTTGAGAAACTTGTGTGATGCTCAATAATCTTTAAACCTTGCCTCTTCTGCAGCCCATCATTCCAGCACAGGAGCTACAACTTTAATCAAATTTACAGGTTTCCACAGCTTGACTTCTTGGGCTCGCAATAATCTGTTTGACCCGTCGGCCCACAGGAAGCAGGTGTCTGCCCTGGGCATGTTGCCTTTGCCTCGAAGCTGCAGGGTCCAGGCCACTCCCCCTCTGCGGAGTCTGGATGCCTAGAAGTCTAGCATCCACTTCTCAGCTATATATTAATAATTAGTAGATAATATATAGTAGTATATTTTGTTCATGGTTTCTGTAAGGGGGAGGTGGCCTCCCTCCCTCCCTCCCTCCCTCGCTAACCCTCATTCACGCACGCACGCACTGACACTCACTCACTCACTCACTCACTCACTCACTCTCTCTCTTGCTCTCTCTTACCTACTCTCCCCCTCCCTCTCTCTTAAGGATTCTATAATTCCACGATAATATATTGTGGTTCAAAACCCACAAGGGGCTTTAATACAATAATGGAATACCTGCAACTCTTGATCTGCAACTTTAGATCAGGTTCCGCACTTACAGTAATTAACTGTGACTTGTCAGTAGCATAGCAGTCCATGGTGGAACCAAGGGTTCCAAATTGAGTTCTAACCGTCAGCTTTGGAGGCTAAATGAGCTGCTCTTCAAGACTTTGGCATGTTGTTTTTGGCCCCGAGTCGACAAGTAGCTGCGTCAAAGTAGCTAGTATGTTTGTGGGAGGCCTGTCCTTTTTGGGAGTCCTAACAACCTCTTTCCCCTCAGCGCACTGCTGGTTCTTCCCAAGATGAGCTTCAGACTCTACGAATCCAACTGTAGAAGCGACAAACACAGCGGGGCTGGGGGCGCTCTCTGATGGTCCCCCCAGCGGACATAGATGCTCATGCCGACTCACGACTCCTGGGTGTCTGTCCTCCCTCTTCCCAGGGAGAAGGACATCTGGAGCTACCATGAGCTACGCCCCATCCACCGGTCTTCGATTCTCACCAGTGACCGATATCGCACCGGTCTTGATCTTCTCGTGGCTTGTCACTGTGTTGGCATCACAATTGCCGTTGCTGTGGAGTCTGGTAGCCTTGCTGTGGACGTTGGGGCCTTTCTCATCTTTGTCGCCTGTCTGTTGCTGTGCAACGGGTAGCCCGTCTGATGAATCGTCATTCGGAGCCTTAAAACGGCATCTGATCTACCGAACCTGCACAACTGAACGCTTGGTGGCCTTGTATTCACCTGTTTTTCAAGACAAACCCTACAGCATCCCACATCAGCCGGGGCTGAAGGCCCAAGCACGAGGAAAACCGTCCACACCATCCAGTGCCTCAACATCAACCTTGTCCAACTTCTCCAATGACCCACATCAGCGGCACACAAGGTGACTGCACGGCCTGGAGCATCCGGCTGGGCGGAGACCCGTGGACTTTCGCCCAGATCTGTGGGCGAAAGGACAGCATTTGGGATTTGAGCCGGTCCTGAACCAGAACTATATAATATAGAAGAGATGTTGTGAAGTTGTGTGTAAATCATGTTCTATCACTGTTTGGTCATGCTGGTATTGGAATGCTTGGGTGGAGCATGTGTTTCACTTCTCTCTGAGGCCTAGCGCAAAGTGCAGTGGAATGGAGAAAGGGCCAAAAAGGAAGAACCTGAGTTGGAAATGGGTCAGAACCAACAGAGCCACACGTGTCCAGTGTCCTTAGTGTCCTTGGAAGGGCAGCCACCAACCGCCCGATGGGTGTCGGCGGAGTTTGGCCGTGTCTGACCGTGTGGCTCAAGTTCCGGCTCGATCGAGAAACTGCTTGCATCGGCAAGGTGGAAAGGCCGGAAAGGCATGCAACCCCTGCCATGCTCCACACATGTCAACAGGTCAAGAAAAAAACGCGGCAGCAATTCCGAGTGCAAGGCGACAAACATCAAACAAACGAAGCACACATAAAATCACACACACACACACATATATATATATATACATGAGAACCTCATCTGGACCTACTGCAAAGGGAATCAACACCCCACAACCCGCGCACCTCGAAGTTACATTTCTCGAACTTCTCCCTTTCGGACTTTCGCCCACGCCACGTGCACAAATGGCAACGGCTGCACAGCCTGCAGTCCCATCCGTTCAGAATTCAGTGTAAAAAAGGCCCCGGCCGTAGTTACTCATGTTGAGAAAAACAGTATCATCATCATAACCATCATCATCAAGCATGAGCGACAAGGTGGGAAAACAACAGCAACCACAACAACAAGAACAAGGTACAAACAACAATTGCAGCCAGTGATGCCCCGACCCCCCTCCAGAACAACACCTCAAACACTATAATTATAGAGATCTAAAAAGGACCAACCCAAGCTTCAGTGAAACAAGTCCAACAAGTCCAGCTACTTACCAAGTCAACATTCTCTCGGACCTTCAACCGTATCCTTAACCTTGCCCCCTTGAAGTTCCAAAGCTATGTTGGCCATTGGCTGGCTGCTTTGCTACCACCAACAACAGCAACAGATAGCAACAGCACCTAGTGGATTTAATCCGGGGGAGATTGGAGACGATGCAGAAGACCACAATGTCTGTTCCAAACACTTGCTTGCACTGCTGCCCATCATGGGGCCCTATGAAAAATGGTGTGAGGAACTACCAACTAATCAGCTGAGTCAGTACAAAAGCGTTCGGCATGGTCAAGGCCCAAGGGTTGCATCTGCAGAATTTTGGTTCGCGACATCATTCAGTGATGGTGGCAGTGGGGGTAAGCTGTGCATGATGATTGTTGTTTCAAAGCAGGCCTTCCCGCGTCCCAAATCAACTCTGGATCGCACATAGCTGGGTCTCACTGAAAGGCGGTCATGATTTCTGTAGCTTTACTGGTGCTTGTCCTGAACGGAAACTTTCGATCTTAAGTCCCAGCTGTAGCACCACCCCCAAAAAATATCGATGGGCCAGGTAAAAAAAGAAAACACAAATTGAAGATGAACCCTCATAAATCCATGAATATCAACGAATATGAATAACCATGCCTATCATAATATGAATCCACTCATCTATGGTGTGCCGGACTGAGGCCAATGGGGCAAATATCCCAGAAAGATCCACGAATCCACCGGTGCGGAACTTCGATGTTGGTGAGGCCAAAAGGAGCCTATATGAACATGACGAATTGAAGCCATACACCCCAACTGATCCATTTCATCTCTGGCCCTAGCACCCATACGTTCATGATCGTTCATTTTGAACCCTAACAGCCCAACTATTGAGTCCGAAGGCTCTTCCGGCAAAACAACCTGGTTGAACCCTGAACCTTGGGAGCCAAAACGTCTTTTTCCTCTCAAAACACAGGTGGGTTCTAGGTATATGAAGGTCTCAACCACGACCCCACCGGACTGCCCGCCTGCCGTCCTTGCAGCCGCGCCATTTCCTGAGCCGAAGCTGTCTGGGGAGACCCAGTTCACAAATGGTAAGCGGGTATGATTCACAGCGGATTGGTTATTCTAAAGTATATAGAAGAGTTTGCTCCAAACTAGCCTGCTTTGCTTGAAGGTTTGGATGTTCCTGATCAGCTATCAACGAAATGCCATCTGCGGGAATATCCATGGATGTGGGTGAACTGCTAGCTTCGCTACAGCTTCCCCAGTCTTTTTGACCTTAAAGGTTTCTGTATTATTTCTACCCATGGCACTGAACCCATGGCAGTCCTTTGGGTCACTCGACTAGCGACTTTACACCCAGCGAAGCATGCAAAGCGTCGTCCACCTGTCATCAAAAACGGTATAATTGTACATAAAACTATATATATAAAGCATGTGGAGAGGAAGGCATCAACATACCATTGATACAGTCTACTACAGTATACGGTATACGCGTATACCCTTGCGGAAAATTAGATGCACTGAGACAAAGAGCTCAGCCATTCCCCAAGCCTGCTACATCCTGCTACCAAGCCGCCCCTGGTACTTGCATGGCGGGCCACAATCTCAGCGAGCGGGTGGAACTTTCAACATGCTCAAAAGTCAAGGGCCTGGGGAGCTCAAACATGCTCAAACGCCTATTAAGCCTATTAAGTGTTGAACCGAGCAGACACCAAACGAACTCACTGCTGGCAATTGGTCCCCCAAAATGTGGCTCTCAGATCCTCTTCCTCATGCTGCTCGCAAAAGGTCTGTGGCCTGTACAAATCCGATTGGACAATGTGCTTGCAAAGCATTCAAGACGCCTCCAAACACCAGGAATGAACATGCGTCGAAAGTAGCAATGCGTCCAAACACTTGACTCGACAGAAAAGGGTGCGCACCATTGAACTATAAGAGGAACGAACACATGTTCCGGGCATGGCCGCAAAGCAGACCCACCCGGCACAGCTCTCTGTCTCCGGTCCTATCTATGCGCTTCAGAGCGAAGAAGCTGCTTGAAATGCCCCTCACAATGGCGGCGAAAGGTTTCCTCTAGGGCTGCTGTCCATTGCACCTTGCCAAAGATGCCACCAGTCCCGAGCTCCACACTTTTCCTTGAAGGGCAGTGCGTGACAGAGCGTGAAAGAGAAGGCCCTTGGACGCCAGCGGCCGCAGATGCCACGCAGCTCGCGATGATGCCTTCGATGACACTGGGCCTGTCCTCATCAGAACGAAAAAGAGCTGCGGCAATTTGATACAAAGTGCAACCTGCAGCTGCAGCAAGCTGAAGCCACAGCGTGGTCATTTCCAGCAGTCGGAGACAAGACCTTTCAAGCCCCAGAGTCTTTGCGAGCATCTTCGCATCGGCCTGACCATCAAGCTGCGCGATATACTCTAATTCTGCCCGGCCAAATGGCTTCTTGCTCTGTGGCCAGGAGGCCCAAACTACATTCTGCAACGAAAAGCCCAAGCGATCTGGCAAGGAGCAGCCATGATCAATGGGCACCAAGCGCCTGGACTTGCCGGAGTCTGTCTCAGCGCTTTGCACCAGCAAATTGCCATGGTTCCGATCGAAATTGACCATGCGAACATCCAGAATGCCGATGCGGTGAACATCCTCCACAAGGTGCACCGAATATCCAAAGTTCTCAGAGGTCTCGGCATTCTCCACAAAGGCCTGCCATTCTCCACGGTGTTCCCGGCTGTGCAGGGAAGTGAATATGAAAATTCCTCGATCTTGGATATCATGATAATCATGATATCACGAAGTTCTCACATAGGTAACGTACTATAGGTAACGTACAATATTCAATTAAGCTATACCAGGAACTTCAAAGTGACCTTTTGAGATCCACTTCGAGGCTCCAAAGAGGTCACTTTGAAGGTCCTGGTAATTTGCTATTATTGTTCATCATGATGTGTTTTTTGCAAACTGCTAAGCCTGGAAGGCGCCCAGTTTCCAAACCACTGAGGGTTCCCCGTTGATCTTGGCCGGCACAAAGCTTTGGTGCCGGCAGCGGGCCATGGTGGTCATCGGTACCTGTGCGTGCCCTCCTGATGACTGGTCCAGGAGGTAGGCGGCCACTTCACGGACAGCTCGCTGAGCCGAGGCGACGGCAGGCAAGTAGCAACGGGAGTTTTCGTGGCCCCAAAATCCGCGAGGGTTTTGAGGAGCGCCGGCCTCCTGGCAATTCGTGGCATTGGAGGTCAAGAACTGAAAACAAGATTCGCGACACAATTGTGTTGTGATGTTTGGATGTGGTTTGGGCACCCAGCTCTTCCACAACACCAAGCTTTCAAATGTTTAAGCATTCAAAAAAGCATCCCCTCCTCGTCTTTCGGCTTGAAGACGGCCAAGGTCTGTTCATCCTCTTTGCCTCTGAGGAAGTAAGCGCCGCCGCAACCACTCTCAGTCAGCAAGGGTTCGGCTTGCCGCAATCCATCCGCACACTCCTGCAAACATTCGGCCAGCACCTTCGGGCACGGAACTCCATCACACTGCAGCAATTCGATGCCGGTATTCTCGGCCAACACCAAGAAGTGCAAGTCCAGCTCAGCACAAGAACTCACATGCTCGGCCAAGGGTATTCCATCAGAGATCTCAATGCCACGGTAGAGCAAGCGAATCTGCTCATTTGGTACCAGAGACAGCTCTCGGCACTCAGAGCGAATATAGGCTTTCAGTACATCACCAGGAGTGGAGGCAAGTGCTGACACAAATAGGGTACTCTTCACTGAGAAGCAAATCGAATGCAAACGAACTTTGACCGTGTCGGCGTCGTAACCCACATAGCCGCTGTGTGTCGCCGGTTTCTTCTGGGATCCGATGGTTGCAAGATCCATGCCCGAGACCCCAACTTGAGCCCAAACCCTCCTGCACGACGTGGGAGGATCTGGAGGAATATAGTATATAGTCTGAGTCATTCTGAGTCTGAGGAACATACTGAGAATATAGGATGAACCATATTTAGTCATGGCGTTGGGTGATGAACATCACAGTAACACACCAAGAATCGATTGAACCAAACAGTCTACCAGGTAGGCATACCTTTGGGCTTGACCTTCGGAACGGGTTCTGCAAGACTTCCACAAAGGCCCGCACTGTGTGGATGGCCGTGGGATCCTCGGTGGGTCGATGAAATGGCCGTCAACGGAAGAGTGCATCCCAGGAACTCCACTTAGCACTCAAAAAGGAACCAGGGATAACCATAATTTCGAGGTCCACAGTTTACAGTTCTATTCATTGGAATTATATTGTGGTTGTTACTGCGGTTATTTACTGTTTGTTTACTATTTCAGTGGATCCACTGGGACTTGGGTACGTGATACTACGCGTGTGCTTTCCAGAAAGATCGATCCACTCACCTTGAAGATTGCCACCAGAACCACCCAATCCTCCCAAAGAGCATGATCTTTGTGAAAGAAATAGACCTCGAACACAAATACCATGGGCCAATGGGAGAAGTTATTCTGCCCACAATAATAGCAGTCCGTGAATTTCTGCCGTACAGCTCTTTGTCTATAGTTTGCATCTCGAACGTGATCCCGTCATCGCATGTTGGCATGCCAAAAGTTTCCACTGGCGAGAGTTGCTGCCATACTGGGTCCCATTCGTGCCCAGTGTAGGCCCAAATCCCACAAATTATCCCAAGAGATTGGCCGGTGTGCCAGTGGTGTGGACACGGTGTGGGTGGTAAACTACCTCCCTGGGAATGCAATTAGCATCTGTCATTGATGGATTGAACAAATCAACTGCCGTCTGTCAGCCCCGTATACTTGCGTATACTGTGAGATCAAAGGTTGTGGTGGCATCTTTGCGTGTTGGCGCACCCAACAAGCCCAAACAGCAAATGCTGGAGTCAATTGCACGAATTTCCAGCCATGTGCAGGTGTTTGTACAAGAGATGGTGTCACAACACGTTTGCATAGATGGATCTTCCTTTCTGCATCTTTTCTTGTACCCTTTGTTGCGTTGAAAGCGTTCCTCTGGGTGCATCCTTGCTTGTTCCACATCGGTCTTGTAGTCCACCAGCGGCCATCGTCATGCAAGCGGCCAACCGACATTTCAATATGCTCCGCATTTTGCAGCGAGCCTCTGCAGAAAGAGATCAAGGTGGGCGTGCGGCCATGTATTTATGGGCATGGACGTCCCAACATAGTAATATAGAAAGGTCCTTTTGGCAGTATTTTTGGTATTTCACGGTGTTTCATTTTGCACATTCCAAAGTGAGTCGGTGGGTACTGTATGGGTTCAAACGGGTTGAGAAACATTCGATCGAAATCATGGGCTTAACTCATCTTAATCAATTCTCGCAACATTTACTCGCAAAGGCCTGCCAACCTCTCACAAGTGCAGTAGTTCAAAACTCCTAGGGGGCACTCGTTTTTTCATGCGGATGCTATACGGAATATGTGTACACAAATGTGTATCAATCTATATTTATTTATACAAGTACATACTTTAAAAGGCATCAAAGACTAATCAACAACTCAGTACCAAAAACAAAAAACGAACAATCACTGTTATGAACACAAGAGCCGAAACCAACTGTAAACTATCACCGTTGAGGGTGCTTGGTTTGAACCTTCTATCAGGTCGCCTAGGCTGATTAGAACCCCAAGGCATCATATTTGTTCAGGTTTTAGTCGGGCCAAATCCTGCTCGAAGGCTATCAAAATGAGACTGGTTTGAGTTCAAATATCCAGTAATTAGAGTAGAGTATCTTGAGCCACAGTTTTGGGTGGAAAATGGCAGGTTTGAGGAATGGTCCAAGGCACACACGCACAAACTAAGCATTGGAGGTCATCTATAGCCTTAGCTGAGAGACCCTTTCCAAACACATTTCTGTCGTGTCCCTCGCTCCGATTCCAAAAATTAATCGAGACCCTGTCCGCAGCACCAGACAGGCCTTGATTGGAACAGAACGCAGTGCAAAGGATCGGAGACGTATGCACCTTTGTGCAGCGGCACCCAAAACGGGCGGCCCTCAAGGACATCATACCACCAAGGGCATGGGCACACATGAATGTATATGTGTTTATATACCATATATACCATATATATATATACATATTGTTTTTTTCTCAAATGTGTGTGTGTGTGTATGTGTCATTGCTTTTGATGGCATATCTTGCGGAATGAACACATACGGAGTCATGCGGAGTAGAACCACTCTCAAGTGGCAAAATGCCCAGAACAAGGGCATAAATACCTTCAAGAATGATGTCCATTCCTGGCAAAGGCATGTCTTTTTGAGACCTTTTTGTGAACAGCATCGATGAATCAAGTCTCGAAATCGGCCTTGGGAGTGACATTGAGATGTGAAACTATGTCCTTGTAGAACGATATGCAGCATACATTCATGGAAAACACTATTCTGGTGGATGATCGGCAATACACATGGCTTTTGGAAGGCTACATGGAATTTGTTTGCCGCATCTTGCCGCAATTATTTTTCTGCTGGCCACGGATGTTCCTCGGATTTGCCCTGAATACGCGAATCCCCCCAGGCAATTTGGACTGAGCGAGTTATTCTTGCCCCAGGTGCTTCTGGGTATGGTCTGTCCACTAGCGACCCGACGTGCTAACTTACCCCATCGCACATGAACTTGACCCACCCCCATGGCACACCGCTTACCCCACGAATGTAAGAACTTACCCCATTTGGAAAACACAATGGCACACCGCTTCGAAACAAGCACTTTTTCTCCTAGATTGTTTCTAAACCTACACGATTCCACTGCGATTCAATCTTCTACATGTTGATGTTTTCTAAGGTTCTCTGTGGGTTGCCGTGATCCAATCCCCATGGCACACCGATTCTGACCCACATGTTGGTACCAGCTTTCAGTTTCTACATAGAGTGCAAACAGCATGGAACGTCAAACATATATCTATTCATTCTTGCGTGTTTTCCTCTCCCAATCCCCATGGCACACCGTTTCGGAACAAGCACTTGTTCTCCTAGCCTAGATTGTTTCTAAACCTACACCATTCCATTGCGATTCAATCTTCTACATGTTGATGGGTTCTAAGGTTTCCTATGGGCTGCCATGGTCCAACCCCCATGGCACACCTCTGACCCACATGTTGGCGCCACCTTTAAGTTCCTACCTCGAGGGTAACCACCCAGACGCGAAAGTCCTTGCAAAGCAGTTGCGGCAAGCAAATCACACTGTGACACCACACCACGACTAAGTCACGGCAGAGTTCTTGCAGCACTTAATTTCCGCATGGGACACCGCGTCACCAAACAGGCCATCTAAGCCAAAACCATGCTTTCCAAGTCCAGTTTACAACATTGCCACAATGATAGGGTTTGTGCAACAACAGCCAGCAGCAAATGAGTAGGCTTTGTAGCGCAGGCAGCGGCAGCGGCAGCAGCAAGCAGCAGCAAGCAGCCAACCAGCAGCAAAACAACACCAACAACCCAACAGCAGCAGAAGGTAACCAGCAGCATCCCACCAGCAGCGGCCAAACAGCAGCAGCAAGCCGGCAGCAGCAAACCAGCAGCAGCCAAACAGCAGGCAGCACGAAGCCAGCAGCAGCTAACCAGCAGTAGCTAACCAGCAGTAGTAGCCAACCAGCGCCAGCAAACCAGCAGCAACTGGCCGCAGCCAACCACCAGCAGCAAAACAGCACAGCGCAGCAGCAGCAGAAGCAGCAGCAGCACCCAACCAGCAGCAAACCAACAGAGGCTAGAAACCAAATCATCTGTGATGTGGGATTGGTGAAAACAGTGTGCACACCCGCTTCCGACCTCTGCCAGAAGTATGCTAAGACCACGACAAAACCCATGGTTAGCTTGCGTTTTGCCTTCTTTGGCGTCTGTGCGCGCGCGTTCCTTCCGCATGGCACACCTGCGAAAAATGTGAACATGAACGCTTGAAGACATGAACCCTGCAAATCGCTCCTTGCCTGGAGGGCCCATGTAAATTGAAGAGGCCTTTGCTTACACATATGTGTTGGTCCTGGTGCCTGGCGGGTTGGGCGAGATAGAGGGCGAGATGTGGGCGAGGTATTGGGCGAGATGAACACGCTTGCCCAGAAGACCCATGCCCACTAACACCCAAACACAAAAGTCCTTGCAACGCAACGCAGCTGTGGCAACCAGTCATATACTGGGACACCACGCCACGACTAAGTCACGGCAACGTCCTTGCGATACTTGTTTCCGCATGGAGGCACCGCGTTTCACCAAACAGGCCTGCCACCAAGCTTGAAATCATGTTTCCAATACCCAGTCTGCAATGGAAGAAACCTGCTATAATCATAGGGCGTGCAAAACAATGACAGGCAGCAAATGAGTAGGAGCAGCGGCAGCGACAAGCAGCAGCAAGCAGCAAGCAGCAGCACCAGCAACAACCAAGCAGCAAGCAGCAGCACCGGCAGCAATCAGCCAGCAGCAGCAGCAGCAGCAGCCAACCAGCAGCAAACCAACAGCAGCCAACCGCCAGCAGCAGCAGTAGCCAACCAGCAGCAGCAAGGCGGCAGCAGCAGCAGAGAACCAGCAGCAAGCCCGACATATATTGATTACCATAGATTACCAAACAACAAACGCCTCCACCCCTAGACACGCAACTGTGTGGGGACACGCTTCGCAACGACTTCTCAAAAACACTAATCAGACTGCTCCTCGCTCATCCGCTTTGATGGAGATGGGGCCTTCTCGAAAAGGCTTCAACTATGGGTTGACAAAAGAAACCTCTAGAAACAAGTTCAATTTCATAGCTATTCGATAGCTCACCCCAATGGTATACTGGTTTCGCATTGCAGTGTGAACGCGAAAAAGCCAGTGTGCCACGCAGATCTGGCATCAATAAGATGGAGAAGTATATTGCTT